ACTAAAGAACTGGCCCAAGGTAGAACCCCCCTGACGCCTTTTCCTCGCACTCCATGCAAAACAAGATCCCTGTCAGCCTGACAGCGTGAGATTTTACTCCCTCGATAGTTGCAGAAAATTGATGTGATATTATGCAAATTTGCTTACTCAACTGTTGTAAGCATAGGCCAAATCAGATGATCGTTAACGGGATATAAATATTTTAATATGTTAGCTTGTGATTTATCTGTCAATAATAATATGAATGTGTAAATAGATGTTAGAGCTTGTCTAGGGCACATGTAGATGTGCCTTAGTTATTACACATCTAAGTGACACAAGCAAGTGCGGAAAAAAAAGAAAAAAAAGAAAATACTCACACGAATCTTCGCATAAGATCAATGATATATGACTTAGATGTGCAATACTTATGGCACATCTAGATGTGCTTTAGCAAAACTGTAAATGTTAATCAAATTCTGACCGTGAATTATCTTATATTTCAATTAGAAGTTTGGTAAGTAAATTAAATTGCAATTGGTTTAGAAGATAAGTAAATTAAGATGATTGATTATCATATACATGAAAGGTTTGACAAAAGAATGATGAGAATAAATGTGAAATGAAAAGCTTAGTTCTTTTTAAGTAGTAGAGAAGTAGTGAAGATTGCAGTTCATACGTACACCAGCACGCAGGAAGGTCATCGGCGCGCGGTACTACCTCAAGGCCTACGAGGCCCAGCACGGCAGGCTGAACACCACGAACGAGTGCCGCTCGCCGCGCGACCACGACGGCCACGGCACCCACACCGCGTCCACCGTCGCGGGCCGCGCCGTGCCGGGCGTGGCGGCGCTCGGGGGGTTCGCTGCCGGCACGGCCTCGGGCGGGGCGCCGCTCGCCCGCCTCGCCATCTACAAGGTGTGCTGGCCCATACCGGGGCCCAACCCCAGCATCGAGAACACATGCTTCGACGCCGACATGCTCGCGGCCATGGACGACGCGGTCGGCGACGGCGTCGACGTGATGAGCGTCTCCATCGTGTCCTCCGGAAAGCAGCCACGGCTACCGGACGACGGCATCGCCGTCGGCGCGCTGCACGCCGCCAGGCGCGGCGTGGTTGTCGTGTGCAGCGGTGGGAACTCTGGCCCCGCGCCGGCCACTGTGTCGAACCTTGCGCCGTGGATACTCACGGTCGGCGCCAGCAGCATCGACCGCTCTTTCAACTCGCCCATCAGGCTTGGTAATGGCATGGTGATCATGGTAAACGCCTAAGAAAATTCGTGTCATTTAACGTATGTTATTCTTGTTTTTTCTTTTAATTAAAATGGACTGACGTGTGATTTACCGTACTTCCATATCAGGGACAAACGGTAACACCATACCAACTGCCGGCGAACAGGACGTATCGAATGGTTTATGCAGCACACGCCGTGGTTCCTGGCACTCCCGCCAACGTTACCAAGTAATAAACGAACCAACGAGAACTAGGCTGTAGCCTAGTGGCAAGAGAGCGCAGTGGCGTCTCCAGCAATTAGGGTTCGAGCCACGTCGGGGACGAATTTCTGATTTCTCACAAGGGATGCTTCTTCTATATCAATAAACTATGAGTGCTAGTGCCCATGAGTTTCATCTTTTTAATAAACGAACCAACTGTACTGAAATCTAAAAAAAATATACGTACAACACAGGTACGTCACACTTGCTAATCGAACAAGGTTCAAATTTTGCACTGTCGCCAAAGAAGGTGCGAGGCAAAATCGTGGTGTGCTTGAGGGGGAGCGGTCTGAGGGTGGGCAAAGGCCTGGAGGTGAAGCGGGCGGGCGGCGCGGCGATCGTGCTCGGCAACCCGCCGATGTACGGCAGCGAGGTGCCCGTCGACGCGCACGTGCTCCCCGGAACGGCAGTCTCCATGGCCGACGTCGACACCATACTCAGCTACATTAATTCCAGCACGAACCCAGCCGCTTACCTGGAGCGCTCGAGGACAGTCGTGGACGTCAAGCCGTCGCCGGTGATGGCGCAGTTCTCGTCGCGTGGACCCAACGTCCTCGAGCCCAGCATCCTCAAGGTACGAGCACAAACGGCATCCATTTGCATTTGCATCTTCTCAAGATGACTCTTGTCGATTATCTGTGCTAACTGCATCTGCATGCAATGTGTGCGTGCAGCCTGACGTGACGGCGCCAGGCCTGAACATCCTGGCGGCGTGGAGCGAGTCGTCGTCGCCCACAAAGCTCGACGGCGACAATCGCGTGGTGAAGTACAACATCATCTCCGGGACATCGATGTCGTGCCCGCACGTCTCCGCCACCGCCGTCCTCCTCAAGTCTGCCCACCCCGACTGGAGCGCCGCCGCAATCCGGTCAGCCATCATGACCACCGGTAATTTCTCTGCTCCGGCAACGCGATTTGCATGCCATAGGGCCAAGTTTTGCTTTTCTTTACATTGATTGAGAATGGTGGCGGAAGTGGGCCCACGTGATCTCTTTGTGTATGGTTTTGACAGCAACGACTAACAACGCGGAAGGCGGCCCAATAACGAACGCTGACGGAACCGTGGCGGGGCCCATGGACTACGGCTCGGGCCACATCAGGCCCAAGCACGCGATGGACCCGGGCCTGGTTTACGACGCGTCCTTCCAGGACTACCTCCTCTACGCCTGCGCGAGCGGCGGCGCGCAGCTGGACCGCTCGTTCCCGTGCCCGGCGAGCCCGCCGCGTCCGCACGAGCTCAACTACCCTTCCGTCGCCATCCACGGCCTCAACGGGTCCACCACCGTGCACCGGACGGTGACCAACGTCGGCGAGCCTGGGGCGCATTACAGCGTCGCTGTGGTCGAGCCCATGGGCTTCTCCGTGAAGGTCTCGCCGACGAGCCTCGCCTTCGCACGCACCGGAGAGAAGAAGACCTTCACGATAAAGATCGCAGCGACCGGGAAGAGAAGTCGGCGTATGAAGAGGAAATATCTTGCAGGCTCGTACACGTGGAGCGACGAAGTCCACGCTGTGAGGAGCCCCGTCGTTGTTCTCGTCGCGTGATCATTCGTTCTTGCCATTACTGGCCAATTTGAAGAATAGATGAACACGTACAAAACTACTCCCTCGTTGTGCATGTGCTATACGCCAAATGGATCGTGGGTTCGTGTCCCGTTCTGGAGGCTCGGGATGGCTGTGCGCATCCGCATCCTTATCCACACCGTGCGTGCACCACCGTCAGTCTTCACCGGCGCCCGTGGCCGGCAGGCCAACCAACCACACCCATTGTCCAAACCCGGCGGCGTTACAGGTGTATGACCGGCAGCGGTGGTTCACGCCAACACGACACAGTCCGCGTGCTTTCGTGCATGCTGCCACAGTAGAAAGACGTCGACGCGGGAGTCCTCGCTAGAGTCCAGGATCGCAGGATATACCACGACCCACGAGCCCACGCATGTATGGAGCGCTGGTAGCCTGTCTTTTTCCACTCCAACGCTGAAAACCCAGGGGCTGCCCGGATATTCTCTATATCGACACAAAGTTCACGAAAACGATGGCAAGCGTGATGCTCCACTTTGTATTCACTTGCACAAGAATTTTACCAACCAAGTTTATATACCTACTAGCATTGCACAAGAATTTTACCAACCAAGCTTATATGCTCCGGCCAAGTCAATCCCTTAAAAGATGGACGTCAATAACGCACGAACGTTCGTTCGTAGTGGAGGGGGGATCGATCCGAACTTATTCGTTCGGGAGGAGAGCCCCCCAGGCCCGAACGCCCCTCCCTGTCGACCCTACAGCCTGGTAGCGAAAAAAGCCCAACTGTTTCTATGTTGGGCCAGATTAAAGCCCAGATTTTGCAGTGCTACGAAAAAAAAGGCATCAACGTTAAAGCACAAAAAATGCCATGGGTAAAACGAAATTGTTTCTTTCAATGACCCAAAAGGAAAATAGTCATGGCAATTTTCATCATACAAACAAAACAAAACGCCATGCAAGATTCATAGTAAAAAATGCCATGATATTTTTAATTAAATTGTATGCACAATTTGAAGACAAAATTGTGTGTGAGGAATTTTCCATGGTGTGGTAGTATAAATTGCCATGTTAAAAAAATACAATTGCCATGACACTAAAGAATAAAATTTCCATCATGAAAATTAAGGAAAAAGAAGGGAATTTGCTATGGCCCATGATTTCAAAACATAAAATTACCATGGATTAAAAACTAAATAAAATTATTGCACTACCTATAATGAAATGTTTACACATGGCAAATTTAGTAAGTTTTTCTTCAAAAATAGATGGCAAATTTAGGAGTTTTTTTTCACTAAAACACAAGGCAACTTTTTGAGCAAATGTAACTGGTAAATGGATTTTATTGAAAAAATATGGCAAAAAAACACTCATGATAAATAAGGAAATCCAGACTACATGACCAAAAAGTTGCCATGCTATATAGTGAATGAAAAAAAAATGCCATGGAAAAAATGTTTAATTTGCCATGGCAATAAATTCAAATATTTGTCATGGCGACATATGGAAATATGCCATGTCAAAAATAAAAAGTAAAAACTGTCATGGCAATAAAAGTTAAGAGTTTCCATGGCAAAAAAAGGTTAATTTTCCATGGCAATAAAATTTAAATATTTGCCATGGCAGTATAGGTAAATTTTCCATGTAAATTAAGGTAAAATTGTCGTGTCAAAAATAAAAAATAAAAATTGCCATGGTAATAAAAGTTAAGAGTTGCCATGGCAATTAAGGTAAATTTGACATGTCAATTAAGGTAATTTTTCCATACGGCAAAAATAAAAAAGTTAATTTTATTGCGATGATATTTTACTATATACATGAAGACACAAAAAAATGTGGATTGAAAAATGCCATGGCAAATAAAAAGTAAAATTTGACATGGATGTTAAAGTTATTTGCCATGGCAAGTAAAGAAGTAAATTTGCCATGAGCAAAGAGTAAAAGTAAAAACAGTTGCCATTTATGTAAAAAGTGTAAATTGCCATGTATGTAAATGTTAAGTTGCCATGACAAAACAGAAAAAGGTTAATTTAGCATGGCACTTTAAAAAAGGCAAATTTGCATTGGCAAGAGAAAAGGTAAAATTGCCATGGCAAAAACATGGTAAATTTGTCGTGTTGCAAAAAAGAAATAATTTCGCCATGATATTGTTACAAAAATTTGACATGGTCCATGCACTAGAAAATGCAACATTGTGCTCCATGAGCAGGAAACTGGACAAAAAAAGGCACCGTTCTCTGACTAAAAATAACAACTAGGTATTTTGTGGTATCTAAGTGCAGAACTCAAAACTACGACACATTCGTACCACAGAGGCTGGAGCTCCCCGCTTCAGGAGCGCATGCCAGCGACGAAAAAGCAACAGATGCGTTGTGCTTCTCCATGCGCTTCCGTCGGTGTGTCTCGGTGAGCTGCCATTGGATGCTGTGATCAGCCGACTCACCATGGCCACCGTGCGCCGCGAGCAACAGGCTCAACCTGGCCACCCCGCGGGCGCCAAGTATCGTGCCGCCGCAACCGCGCCTGCGAGCCACTGCTCAGCACCACGTGCCCGCCAGCCCAGGTGCCATTCTCGCCTCCTCCACCGCCATTCTCCTCCCTGGTCACCTGCGGCAAGCCCTCAACACCGCAACCACCGACGGCGGCTGGTCTCCTCTGTACGGACAAAGACGTCAAAACGGATCTGGTCGAGAGAGAGAGAGAGAACTCGTTGCCGGCCGCGGCGGCGCAGGGAGCAAGCGGCGCACGCGCACAAACGATGCGCGGAGGCCCCCCGAACAGCTCCATTGGCCGAGCCACGCGCTGACTGCCGCAACATCATCCCGCTGCTATCCGAGCTCGCCACCGTGGTCCTCGCCATCACGCACCGGCCACCCGTAGCTCGCCGGAGAAATGCGTAGCTGGACTCCATAGACCAACATGGAAATCGCCTCTCTCGGGCGGAGCTCTAGAAGCGAGGGGAGGATAGAGCAGGGGAGAAAGGGGAGAAATGGGGAATGGTGGAGTGGGTGGAGCGTTCGTTGTGGGCGTCGTTATCCCCAAACGCTACCCCTCATCCGACATGGCACTCTGACATGCTTTAAAATTAGTGCAGAAAAATGGACGATGATTAGAGCGTTCGGGGCGAGAAGCAAAAACACTGGTCGTTCGGGAGTTATCGATTCCGTAAAAGATAAAGTAAACCGTCGAGTAAAGCTTAGTGGACTATTTTTTTGCTCACTAAATTTTGGCCGGACCAAGCAGCCCATCAGTAATTCTTTTTCAAATTTATTTCATTATTGGCCATTGAAATAAATTTCATTGCTTTTTTCATTTTATTGAACGACATCTTGATACATCAGAGTAAATAATTCACTAATTCTTCGCAAAGAGAATCGATCCAAAGAAAACAAGAAGCACAAATAAGATAATAATTTAATAGAAAACCAACTTCCATAACTGCATTATCTTGCATGAAGATGTCGTCCATGCTAGCTTAATCATAGGTCATCGGCATGAATAGCGATCGACGATCTTGGCTTTGGGTCTTCTCGGGATCGCAGGCACCCGCGGTGTCACCGCTAGCAGAGGCAGCGGCCGCCGCACCACCTTCGAAGATGATATTCTCGATGATGAAACGGTTGGCCATTTCATCGTCGCTGGCCACCGACATTCTGTCGAACAGGTTGCGGTCGCCGGGGAGCATGTTGGCTGGCATCTCACGCGGGCGTTTCCTCACCCCTCTGGAGGAGGATGCACCAGCCACCGACGTGGCGTTGAGGTCGATGGCCACGGGAGTGGGCGCGGGTATGGATGACGCCACCACGCCCACCTCCCGCGAGCATTCCCTGGAGAAGCGGGAGGCTTGCAGATAGACGTGGAAGCCGGGAATCGGCAACATGACAGATGTGTGCGGCGAATCTGGCAGCATCATCCGAGGAAATGCCGACGAGCCCGTGCTGGTCGCGGCCACGGCGGCGTGGGCAAGCCCTTGCTGTCTAGGGTTTAACCCTAGGTAGATCCGGCCTCCCTTGTTGACGCGGCGACTCGAGCATTGGTGGATCAGAAGATGAGGGCGGCGACGGCCGCCGCTTCGTCCCTTGCATCATGTGTGTCCCTTCGGCCCTTCCTCTTGGCCGATTGGAAGGCCCGCTCCTCGGGCGTCAGCTGCTGCTTCTTCTTGGGTGGCGCTGCTGTCTCGCGGGGCGCGTGTGGCTTGCCTTTGGCGGAGGCGACAGAGGTGAGGCCCGCGGCGGCGTCAAGGGTCGGCGTGTCGTCCATGGCGAGCGGTCGGAAGCGCTAGCGGCCGGGAGGGTTTTGGGCAAATGGAGGGAAATGATGGTCGTTGTGCCATCGACTGGCGGATCAGAAGAGGAGTAGGTGCGCGTCGTGAATGTTCGTTTCTTGTCCGGGTCGACGCAAACGATACTCAAATTTGGTTCAGAAACGAGTTGACAGACGGACAAAAAGCTGACGTGCGTTCGTTTAGATCGGCGCGTTAACTTCGCGACGATCCAAACAAACATGCGTGGATGAAATAGGTCGGCAAGTAGGAGTTGCTCTTAAGGAACTCTTACAGCGGCCACGCCACTTCTCACCGTGTGATCTGAATCCTTTAACCCATCTGGCCCTCGACAGGCCCTCCGTCCCCCTTCCGCTGGCGCCGACCCGCCGCCGCCCCCTTCCGCAACGCCAGTGGCGCTCCCCCACAAGTTGGTCCTCGCCGCCGGACGAGGTTGTACGCCTCCGGCCATCCTCGTGCTGCTCCTCCGGCGAGAGCGGCTCCATTCACAACCGTCGGGCCGCGCTCCACCGCTGACCCGTCTGCTCCTATCCAGGTCACCGTCTGCTGGCCGCTCCCTTCGGATCCTAGGCTCGCCCTCTCCGGATCAAAGGTACTAGTGAGCTTTCGCCATGTCGAGGCTGCGGGCGCTCTGGCAAGCTTCCGTGAACGCTACCAAGCGAGGTAGGTCCCTATCACACACCCCAATCTCGTTGATACACTGTGCCTATTCGGTCCATTTCCTCAACGAAACCCATAGTCGTGTTGCCTATGATAGTCTTGAACCGTTGTTGTGTGCGAAATGCCGAAATGTTAACTGGAAGAGGTCATTGTAGGAATCATGCCTACTCTCTCAAGTCCTGAGTGTGACGAACTTAGCTTGCTCGCTGCGAGTGGAGCCTGACGATTAGTGCGATGCAGTGCATATAAGGTTATTTCGTACTGACGAATTGGGATAGGAATTACCGTGGATATCAGTCCAATACTAACAGATCACTAACCAGAGTATATATTCACTATTTCGATTTCATTCCGAACATAAACTGATATATAAACCTTTAGTTGTTGCCTATGGCACCGTAAGCTGATTTTTAAGAAGTTACTACTCATGCATTTCGCTAACTGTATGGTATGGTAAATAAATTTATCATGTTTCTATATAAAGGGAAAATTGTGCCGAATATTTTTCTCCTCTAATTGGCAGCATGTATCCAGTGAATTTTCACACCTTCCCCTAAGTCATCTGACAACTCTTTTGGCATATCTAACCCCTTATCTCTGTTGGCATTACGTCCGGATTTTGTAACAGTAGTACATCACAATATACACATTATTTTGGGCCTATGCATTAATCTTGTACCCATATATACCAAATTGGCAGCTGTTGTATGGAATTCAGAAGATTTATTTCCACCAAGTGAAAGATACATCTTCAATTTCAATTCAAAAGATGAGGTGAAGAAGTGGCACTTGTACTCGGATTCAGAGTATGGAGGTAATGCATCAAGTTGATGATTTCTTCTTTAAATATAGTTGTCACAGTTTCTCTGAATAACTGATATGGTAGAGACATAGAGTAAAGCACGTTTGTACTTCTTTTATTGTCAGATACTCATGAAAGATTTGAATTCCCAACATTTCTGCCTGGCACCAAAATTGTAATTTTCTATTATTCTCGGAATATGCAAAGAAGGTGACATGTTGAGTCGCTGAAGAATGTTGTCTTTAGATGAATATGTTACTGATTTAGGCGTCCATGGTACTTCCTTGTTTTGAGTAGTGTAGTCCTTCCTAAGATTATGTGCTGCAGTAGAGCATTACTGTCTGTTTCCTTTGTGCTCCCGCGGAGTATTATATCTAATACCACTGTATCTTCCTTGTTTCGAGCAAAAATAAATAAAGTCAAGAAAAGCTCTCTTCTTCCGGAGAACAACATAAATGATTTGCTATTGAGTTGTGGTACTTAGAATCTTCCTGATGTATGGTTTAAGTCCTTCCTAAGGATATGTGCTACAGTAGAGCATTACTGTCCATTTCCTTTGTGCATACTGTTGAGCATTATACCTGATACCGATGAATTATACGTACTAGTTTACTTTCTTTATAGATGAGTAAAGCATCAAGACTGTGTAGTGCCTCATGGCTTACAATAATTTTCATGGGATTGCTTCTTATGTCTGACGGAAATTTGATAACCTGTTTCTCCACCACAGATGATTACGTCTGACGGAAATTTGATAACCTGTTTTCTCCACCACAGATGATTATCTCTCTGACATCTGTATCAAATTTATATGCTGTCTGCACCTTTTTGTAAAACGGAACTACTATCAAACTTGTATTTGCATCTATGAGATAATATGATTGAACAGTGTTGTTCTCCAGGTTTATCATCCGCATCACTGGAGATAACTGATAGTGTTTCTGGTGGAGATACTTCATCAACAGGTACTATGTCTTTGACATGCTTAATTTTCCAGCTGGCCCAATCTTTTGAAGTATAGCTCGCATTATTTTCCAGTTCGTATGTGGTGTGTAACTGCAGTCATGTAGAACCTATGAGAAGAAATAAGCTTAATCGCTGTCTAAAAAAGGGAATGCCTTGTAGTGGTTCATTGTCATTTGTCTGTACTAGTTTAGTTTAGCAGGGAATATCAGCTGCTACCTTTTCTATGTACTGGTTAATAGCAGTTGAATATTATTATATGAAACATGAAATGCTGTCTAAAAAAGGGAATGACTTGTGGTACTGTTCATTGTCATTTGTCTGTACTAGTCTAGTTTAGCAGGGAGTATCAGCTGCCGTCTTTTCTATGTACTGATTAATAACAGCTGAATATAATTATATGAAACATGAGATCCATTTATTCATGATTTCCATGGACCGTATTCCTTACTAGCTCATATTAATTTTAAGCTTCACAGTTTTTTCAACGATTTAACCAACATTTGCACTCGTGAAGGTGTCTTTTCTGGCAACCTCTCCTTGGATATGTCCGAGGGATCACCATGGAGGATCAGGCGGAGTGGTTTCTGCGGAATGCGATCAAAGAAGGTATAGCGTTCTTTCTGCACTGAGGGATATAGCTGGTGAAGGGTGTCTATGGACTAGCTAATCACAGTACTAGTAAAATGATGCTGTTACATTGAAAATGATTGTCTGTTACTTAAAAAAAGTAGAAAGTATACATATCTTTAAATAGGCACCATAATGCTGTCCACGAAATAACAATGATTTCTAATTTTGAGCATTCTCAGTATGTAGATTCTGTTCTGCTGACTTCATGTGATTCCTTGTTTCAGTTTGATGGTTACATCGATCTTGATTCGTATGATACAATAGCAATGAAGCTCAGAGGGGATGGAAGAACCTACATATCTACTGTACGTATACGACTGGCAAAAATAATGAATAATTGATGTCCAGTCAATATAATGCTCCATATTTGTATACAGATATACACAGAGAACTGGGTGAATTCACCTGGACAAGAGGAAGATAACTCGTGGCAGGCTTTCGTGTACGTACCTCAGGGTAGCTGGCGGATCTTGAAGGTAATTTCTCTAGTCACAACTGCAATTACTCCCTCCGTTTCTAAATATGAGCCCTTTTAGAGATTTCAATACGGACTACATACAGAGCAAAATGAGTGAATGTACACTCTAAAATATGTCTATATACATCCGAATGTAGTCCGTATTGAAATCTGTAAAAAGGCTTATATTTAGAAATGGAGGGAGTATATGTTTGTTCATGATTAAAACACCACTCTGTTTTTCCATCCAGATCCCTCTCGATAGCTATTTACCTACATGGAAAGGAAACGTGATCGAAGCGAACATGGAAATGAATCCTTCTCGCGTCGTGGGAATGTCTCTCTCGTTAAATGCAGAAGGCGGCGTTCCTGGTGCTAAGACTGGGCCAGGCGATTTTAGATTAGACGTTGATTGGATCAAGGCGATGAGGTCCCTGTGATTCCCGCAGTTTGTTCTTCCGGCTTTCACAAGATAGAGGCCTAAAATTCCAACGAGCATTTTCCTTCCAGTTTGATTGCTGAGCTCCTTAACAAAAGAGAATCTCATTCTCTATGCAGCTTCTTTGTCCTACGGCGATAGATGAGTGTCATCAATAACAACGGTAAAACCGTCATACCACAGATTGACAAATCCAGCATCCATTGTAGATGCATGAAATGTTTCACTTTGTATCAGAGCAGTAACCTTGGAAATAGTTATCTTTTCAGGGCCATTGAATAAAGATTTTTTCTTCAGGCCATGGAATTTTTTGGTGCTACGTTCTGCATAAACTGTTGCCAGTTTCTGTGAAGCCTAGTTGATGTTTTTTTTAGCATTTTTGAATGGGACCTTTTGAATTGTCCACCTGCTAAATCGCACGTTTTTTGCTCGCTACTTCAACGTATCAGGCTTGCCCTGTTTGGTCAAATGTTGAAAAGCCCGTGCCGACATGCCACAGCAACAGAAACTTCTCCGGACTAAGGATGAAAAAATGGACGCGGTTCAATCTGAAGAATCTCATACTCCCTTTGTCTGGAAATACTTTTCATTAAAATGAATAAAAGAGGATGTATCTAAATGTATTTTAGTTCTAAATACATCGTTTTTTGTTCATTTTGATAACAAGTATTTTCGGACGGAGGGAGTAGTACAGTCGTAGATTATTCAGAAAAATGTATACTATTCCATTCCAAAAAAAAAATCCTAACTCACTACTGGCCGATTTGCATCAACCAACGGATGCAAATTAATTAATTTGATTGGCAACCACGGGGAAGATGAGCCGAACAAAATTGACCGGCCAACACCGTCGGGAAGACGCGTGGTGACTGACTTTTCTCGCACATATGCACAGATGACGGGTCCGCCTCGTCCGTCACCCTTCGATGAAGCCGGTCATCCGCAGCACGGAGTTGCGCAGGTGGTTGAGGTCCCGGTGCGCGCGCCCGGGCCCGGACCGCAGCGAGAAGGCCGCCGCCGCCTTCCCCTCCGACCACCTGCGCGACACCATCAGGTGCGGCGGCACCATGGCGCCGTCCTCCTCCTCCTCCTCGTCGTCGTCCAGGCCAGCGCGCCCGCCGGACAGGTGCGCGGCCCTGGGAATGTCCACCGGCGCAGAGCACTGCCGGCGGGCCCTGGAGGCCCTGGGAGCCGCCGTCGATGGCCCCCACGCGCTCCCCGGAGCGCCGTGGCGCGTCTCCGGCCACAGCACCTCGCACTCGGACAGCTCCTCCTCCACCGTCGACATGTCTGTGCGGTTTTGTACTCGCGCACGTATTGCACCGGTGATGAGTGAAGACCTGGATTGGAAGCTCGATGATCTTTCTTTTCTGCTTTAGCGTCCTATCCTGTGACGGGGAAGCGCGTATATATAGGCGGTGTGGCACCATGCCGTGTGTGTAGGTGTAGCTTCCCACGTACGGCGGCAGCCGCGTGGAGGATGAGGCCGGAGCCGGATCGCGGGCCTACCGGGCCAGGTCAAATAAAGGCTGATCCAATCCACCGGCTCACACACATAGAAATAAAGTTGGTCGACATGAAGCTGCAATCTGTTTTTTCAGATATTTTTTTAAAAAGTTGCAATCGTATATACAAGCGCGAGCGATCAGTTGCTCCCACTATTTTCTTTCTTCCATTTTGGTACTACTTCCTCCGTTTGGAATTACTTATCATAAAAATGGATGTATCTATAATTAAAATACATAAATACATTCATTTTTCAACCGAGTAATTTCGAACGGATGGAGTACTTATTAATGTACTAGTAGTACTAATCATGAATCCGATCATTGGTGGCAGGTGACGAAGCGTCACATACACCTACAAACAAGGTGGTAAAATCCTTTGAAAGTTACTCCCTCCGGTCCTTTTTAGTTCGCATATAAGATTTGTCTGAAGTCAAACCTCGTAAACTTTGATCAAGTTTATAGAAAAAAATACAATCATTTAGAATGTGAAATCAACAACATTAGATGTGCCATGACTTTATTTTTCTTATTTTATAAATTTAGCATTATAGATCCTCGACCGCAGCAGCAGCTCTGACGAGGCTCGCCGAATACACGAGCGCGAGATCCCATTTTTAAAGTGTGGCAAGATTACGCCAGGCTTGATCCAGATTAATCAATCCTCGACCGCGTCACACGCGTCCCCCGCGCCCCTGCGACGCTCTCACGGACCTACTCGTGTAGCCTTTGGTCCTTTCGCTGGGAAGCAAACGGAATCCACTGGCCTGCGCTTTGCAAATCATTTCGAGGACGCGTGTGTGCTGCTGCTGCTGCTCCATGGGACCGAGTGCGATCATTGGTTTCGTCATTGCCGTGTGCACTGCAGGCAAGGTAATGGATGGGAATCATCCACGCACGTTCCGCTCGACGCGTGGCTGTACAGGGAAAGAAAGGCAGAAACTGGGCACAACGCGTCGCATGAATGATTTGCTCGCGTAATAAGCCCGAATGCCCGATCCGTCCGTTATTATCGTTGGACGTTGGTATGTACTTCGTGTATGGTTTTGTAAGTCAATGACGACTTGCTACCAAATCTCTCCTCCCACACTGGCTAGGCCAACGTGTTAGAGCCTTGCGCGTTTTTTTTCTTTGCTTGCGAATAGGAGCCTTGCGGGTTCCAACGGGTATTTTCATACAGTAGGAATGCTGAGACTTTTGGCCTAGAACTCAACGCAAACTGTTCAAATACCGAAAGTGCTAGGTAGAATTTTCACATTTCAACCCGGTAGCAAAAGAAGTCGCATCTCCGGCGCCCCATACGGGGCATCAGTCCCGGCGACGCAACCACATCGTGGTGGACGTCGGCGGCTCGCCCCCGGACAGATACGGATGTTTACTGTCACCCAACGGGTTTCGGGCTTCAACGAGAAACAAGCATGGGAGACAACGACGCATTGAGTCTCGTGAGCCGGCTCATGTCCCATGCCTTACTTTACCTTGTCGGTGACCTAACCAACATTCTAAGAAGCGCAGCCGGCCACCGGACATGGCCATGGCGGAGTCGGACGAGCGGGGAGCGAACGAGCCCCGTTTAGATTATGTTTCATGTTGCATGTAATAATATAGATTTGAGGTATCTAGATGTGGAATGCATTTTTTTAGGCATGCTCAGTCACGGTCTGCGAACGTGCCCGGACGCATTCTCAGGTGTTTGAGGTGTTGAATTTGCCCGTAGACCCTCTTGCTCTCTCTCTCTTGCGTAATAAAAGCCGAATAGTAGTAGTACTGCCGGGATGACAAGTAGCGCAAAATCTGTCATTCTGCCACGCAAGCCAATGGGCGTGTCATCTTGAATAGGGGAATTAATTAGACGCTTCCGTAAGTCAATGATTGATTGCTGAGTTGTTTATACTGGCACGGTGGCTGTCGCACAAGAACACGAGGCTCTGAGAGTGAACAGGTGGGCTACAAACTGTGAGATTTTTATTTTTTTGAAACGGATCTGTGAGAAATATAAATGTCACGCAAGAAACCGGAGAAGAGTGCTCACATCTCCATTGGCCAGATCACCACAAGGTCAGCCACAGAATAGTGTCTTTCATCATTTCATGCAAGTGGCCACAGCTCGCAAGCCAGCTACCCAACAAAATCCAGAGAGGAACTCGTGCACTGCACCAGCAATGGCATGCAGACACCTGTACTGACGTGCACATCCGGGCGAGTAGGAGAGGTTGCTTGAGGGCATTTGCACACGTAATCAAGGCAGAGAGGAGGAAGAAGAAGATAAGGTTATATACGACGTGTCCAATTGTATGCTTCGGATCGGAGGAGATGAAATGATATATAGGGTTCGCCGTTGCTTGCGCCCATGTATATGCTTGCCCTCCAACAGCTGTAAATCCTGGGGAGAGGTTAGGTTTAATCGGAAATGTTCAACGCGCATATATATTCCTCCATTCTTGAAGGATAAGTTTGCACTCTACTACTTAATTGTTTCTCGCTGGGAGTGGGGGATTACTTTCCTTTTGCGTCCAAGCATGGTACTGCTCCTCCCCGGGGGCATGCACAAAGTTTTCCTTGTTCAGGAAGTAAGAGATACTGTGTTAAACTTGCGTGGATCAAGTTAATAACGTGTAGTATAATATTAACTTCTCATGAAGGTTAATCGGTTATTAAGGGTGGTATTATTGACTGTCTGACAGATGACGTGTTCAACAGAAAAAAAAAACAGATGACTACCATCTTCTTCTGCCCACACGCATGTCAAAATAAAATGCGTGCAAATAAACAGTGAACGGATAAGCGCCGGCAGGAGGCTACCCTTTCAAATAAACGTACGTGTTACCACGTATGCATGCATTTCTACACGTATTCGGATTACATGACTCGCTGTGCCATTTCGAGGTAAACAGTAGGAGGAGCTCGCTTTCACGTCAATTACACAAAAATGGCTCAAAATTATTTGAAATGAAGCGAACATTTTCGACGAAAACTTTCGGTAGGGTGGGAAAAAAACTTTCGGTATTAGTCGAGCATCACCATCGCCCTCACTCTCCCGACCTTGGGCGCGTCGAGGAGCATCAGCATCGCCGTGTCCCTCTTGGCCCTCCGGTCGACGATGACGTGCGGCGGCACGAAGACATGGCTGCCGATCACCAGGCTGCCGGCGCCGGCGCCCGCAAAGCTCGCGCCGAACTTGCTCAACCCGGCCTGATGAGCCGGCGCCTTTGCACCAGTAGCCTTACCGGTCTTCCCGGGGATATCGATAGGGGAAGACGCTTTCCGCCGGTTTGGCGCCTTGGCCGGACGGGCGGGGCGGCGGTACTCGCCGGAGTGCTCGTCATGGCCTTCGTCGCCGTCGTCGTCAGAGTAGCCCGGATCCTGGGCTGCATCTGGCTCTGGCCACAGTATGTCTGCTTCATGGAATTCTTCCCCCTCCTGCTCTTCCCGTTGCATCGTCCTTTGCTTGACTTGATCCCCTAGCTAGCTTTGTTGGTGTGTATTTGGATAGGGTAAGTACGTATTAATAGTAGTATTATTAGATGGTGGATGCCTGGATGGGGTATATATCTGGACTCTCTAAGCTGATTACCCAACTACCCATCCAGCCATTTTTGTCCTATGCTAGCACTAGTATTATCTTGCATGGGGATTTTCAGAAGTTACCCATGTATGTAATCCCACAGCTGATCCAGTAGTTGTTTGAATGAGTCCAGTGTCCACATAGATGCCGGTGCAGTGTGCGCGCGCGTCGCAGTTACTGAATCAGCAGCGAGTCAGCGATGTGTAGATGGAAAACCACATTGCATTTGAATTTTGACCATATGTACTTATTATTTTTTACATATGAAGTATATGTTTTTTTTTACATATGGAGTAGTATATGTCACACACACGCGCGCGCGTACAAACAGAATAAGTTTTACACCAACGGATTTAATTTCATCTCGCTCTTCCGATTCCAACCAATTCACAAATGAGACCGATTGAAGAAAATTCAGCGGCATCCGCCCTAGGCTCCGTAGCTATCTTATTTACTCTACTACACAAACTGGATCAACCCAAGAAGACCCTTGAGCCCGGCCGCGCGCCGCTGGCCACGAGCGAGACAGGCGGGCGCGCGCGCGCGGGCAAGGAGGGGCTAGCTCTCGATGAAGCCGGTCATGCGGAGGACGGAGTCGCGCGTGCGCGTGAGGTCCCGGCCCTTGAGCGTCCGCCCCTGGCCGGAGCACACCGAGGAGGCCGCCCTGCGCCGCGCCATGAGCACGTGCGGCGGCTCCACCTCCCCGCCGTCCTCCTCCTCGCCGCGGCCCCTCCGCTCGTCCGGCGCGCCCGAGGCCGCCGGGATCTCGATCGGGTGCGTGAACGGCCGCCGCTCCTGCGCCCACGCCGCGCATTTCGCCGACACGGCCGCGCTCTGCGTCGTCGACGACATGACCGGCCGGCCGGCAGCACGAGCTCGTAGCTAAGTAGCTAGCTGTGAATGAGGCGAGCAATGACGAGAGCTTGTGCAACACGACGGACGGACAGACAGCTCGCCGAGATATCCCCTCCGCAGCTCGCCGCGGCGCGAGGGATTTATAGGGCCCGGCAGGCAGCGGCCTAGGTAGGCGAAGCTAAGCTAGGCACGTTCCGTGTGGAGCTGCACCGCCTTGCCCCTGTGTGACAGATAAGTATGCGGTTTTGAGCTTTGACGGGAAGGGAAAGGAATAATTCCGTAATCCCGTCCGCGATCCAGCTCCGGTGGCTGCCTGGCTTGGGCGGCTGGGCTTGGCTTGCTACGCAACAAAATTAAGGCACT